TAAATATTTTAGCTGCAGAAATTGAAACATCCTTTTTGATCATTGAATGGATAAAAATACAATAATGAATTCTAAAATCAGTCTAGATAAGTTTCTAATTAAATTATCTGTCCAGAATGCTTCAAGCAAGAAATTAATCGAATAATAGTGAAAACTGGCTGTAGTGAATAATTGAGAAGAAGTTGGTTGAGGTGTTTATTAAAAAATAAATAAATAAATGAATGGTATTTATTTTTATATTTTCCGACGTTTCGACCCATAGTTCAGTCCTTCATCAGGCCTGTACTCACGAGAGTATTCCCCAAGACCATTGACCAGAAATTAATCGAAATTTGAATTCCTTTCTGAGTTCAGTCTATTACAAATGTCCTTGATGTGACAGAATGTGATATTTCTAAATAAACAAATAATAAGTTCAGAGAAATTATAATTACACCACGTTATAGGCCACATATTCAAATTAGTTACCAGCACGTACGTACAAATTTCAAAGTGTAGATTCCTCTGTTCTCAAGTTCGGGCAGGCTTTCGAGGGAGTTTTCTGGATGCGGTGTTACTAAAGTGACGGCGCACCGTGCTGTCCCAGTCAATTTAGCGGGACAAAAGTTAAAATATCGACAGTGATTTTATTTATAGAAAATGGTATTTGAGGTGTTTTTATAAGTTGGTATGATTAAAAAAAGAATAATTGGTCGAAAAAAATACAAACGATATATGTTAAATTGGCGGTAAACATCAAAAGTTGAGAACCATTTCTGAGAGTAAGAGTGCTGGTTTGATTGCCACAGTGAAAAATATATAAATTTATATAAATAAAAACTTTAAGGTAAGGTTTTTCACTAAAAAATATACGTTTAATACATTGAAATAAACCTTATTTAAGTGTTGGAACTGTATTCATAAAATGTTTCGATTAACTTTTAAGTAATATAAAAAACGGAACATTTGGGAAAATCACAATATATATATATATATATATATGCCCAGTTTCTAAAAGTCATAAAATGTACGTATATGCCTAGTTTAATTTCATAACAAGCCACAGAAATCAGTTATGTGACCTCTGTACCTGTTCAATGATACGAAAAATAATTAATTGAACGATCCAGTTATAGCTTGTTATATTCTCTGAATATGTTCAAAATATATTGAACCTTCAGGACCTTTTTAACAAATGTGTGAGAGAACTTGAAAGAGAAGATAATAGCGAAATTCTAAGGAACAGAAGTATCAAAGTCAAAATAATGATAGTGAATATTTATATGGAAAATGATATTTGACCTGTGTTTGGCTGCGAGTTGGACATATTTAGAGATTTTCCATTATAAGGTTGTTTTTTTTTACACGTTTATTTATTTCTTAGATTAATAATTATTCATTAATCTAAAAAAAACATATTTTTTTTTGGCAAACTCTTTTTGGGCATATTGTTTCCGGAGTAATATATGCTGTGAATTAATCTTATATTAAAATATAGTTATATTAAAAAACAGTAGCTAAATTAAAATGATCTTTTTTCAGCAAAGCAAAATTAATATTCAACTAATAGAAATGGAATATAACTAAGTTAATTGTATATATTTATTTAAATAAAATGTTATCTTTAGTAGAATATCTTGTGAAATGTTTTAATCAAATTTGAATACCTTTATGTTTTAAAGGGGTTAAAAAAACATTTCCGAAATTAAATTTCTTTTCTATGCTACAAAACTGATGGATATTTTAAGTGCCTATAAAAACCTTGAAGTTTTACAACATTAATTTATTTTTTTAAATTTGTTTGATTAAATAAAAAGACGTAATAAAAATATATTTAAAAAAGTCTTAAGAAAAATATAAAAGATGAAAGTTGTATTAAAAATAATGTCTTGTTCTCTCTAAAATAATCAGTTATTTTGTAACCGTTTCGTAATTTTTCATTTAAATTCTTTCTTTGATCTTTTCAATAAAAATTAATGAATTGATTGAAGTTTTTTTTTTATTTTTGAGGGCTACATCGGCGTAAATCTATAAAATCTAAAACTAGAACGATACTCTTCATCTCCCGTGACAAGCATGAGTTGAGCGTTATAGATTCTTGATTGAACACTCATTTTATGGGACATTCACTTATCGTCGCACCTGCAGACAACCATAAAATCTTAAATCACCGCCTCTAAATTGTGAACTCTTATTTATTTATTCTTCTCATGAAAATGTGATCTACTATGAAATAAATGCATGAATATTATCACGTCACTAAGTTTTCAAATTAACAAAAAAATTGATAATATGATATAAAGTCGAATGTTTAGCCCAGGGTCACTTTGGGGTGAAAGTGGAATGGGAAGGCTGCGCAACATCTGATTCATTCAGATTCCATGCATTTTACTTTCTATCGGTAAAGCAAGATTAATTTGAATGTTATGAATGGGGGAGAGTTCACTTCCCAAAGTTAACTCTCCATCTTCAAGCTTGTCAGTACTTTTTTTTTATCATAACCCAACCGCATGGCAGTAAGTTTTTGGAACGATACTTCTTTCATCACCCAATAAGAAATTGTCAAAATATCACGAAATTCTTTCTTATGTTGGAAGCGGTTTGAAAAAAATTGATGGAAAACATTTGAAAAAATACAAATTGTGCTAGCACATCGAGGATGTGGTTGAAGTGTACGAGATTAGCGTAAAGAGATGTGACAGTCACTACAAAGAAAAGAGACAGTTTGAATGGTAAGTGGAAGTGTGGAACTTCACATAACTAAGGACTTACACATCGAATATAACCGAAAAGTTTCAAATAACTCTCCATAAAATAATCGAACTAATCTGAAAACAAAATCTTAAATGTATCACTTTTAAATACAAATTTATCTTGATACACTTCTTAGTACGAAAGGATTCGTGGACATTGTTTCAGTATTATTCCTGAATCTTCAGCCATGTTATGTCCAATATGCCCTTCTAATCGCATCGAATCGATCTATTGGCCTGGAACCTTGGATCGAATCCGACATCGTGGTCCCCTTTAGTAATTTTCCTTCTGCTAAAGTTAAGCGATAACCATTGCCGATTATGATTTCAACAGCCCTTAAGTATATGAAGAGTGATTGACAGAAACACTCCACTCTAAATATGTCTATAATTTCAAAATGGTTTTATAATTAATTCTTTTTTTTCTCTTCTTAATTCATGGCCTACTGGAGGGGAGAGGGTTGTTTTAAGTACAATCGACCTATTGTAATCAGTGTTTAGATCGAGATTCGTTTCGTAGATCCGTCACGAAATAAATTTCTAACCACCCAGGCTGGATTCGAACTGGCGCCGCTAGACTAGAGGACATTAAAGGGAGTAACGCTCTATCATGCTTGAGATTCGGCCAACTATCCTAAGGAGATAAGATTAAGAACCATCAAATTAGTGATCTGATTCCAGGTGAATCCTTTTCGAAATGGCAGCTGAAAAACGTGTATTCCTGTAGATTATAGAGCCAAAATAGTTTTGTTTTACACAAACTCAGCTAAATTCATCTTTTTTCAATTTATTTAATAAACATACTTTCCAAAAAAGGGGCTGAGAAGATTATTATTATTATTATTATCAATTATTATTGAATAATTATTATGGCTAAATTTCGGCCACTGAGTGAACACTAGTTTTTGTAATTACTTTCAAAGAGTTATGAAATATTAACAGTCAAATGTCACTGCCTTTCAGTTTCTCAGAAATTTTGTTACTTATATATTGTTTATATTTTTTAAGTTGAAAGAAAGGGGGGAGGGGCAGCTGCCACAACTTTGCTTTGTCCATGACTTAACACTTGAAGTGTTTTTTTGAACTCTCGTAATCTTAAATCAAACTTATGTTTACTTAACAAATTATGAACCCAGTTGATATAAATATTATATTATGTATTCTTCTTTTTTAATTTACTTATCTTTAAGCCGTTTAATTTTTATATATTGTAATGCGTTTTAATTATTATTTAGTAGTTATTATTTTGATTCGGTTTATTTTATATTTTAACATATGTATAGTGTGAATATGGTCTTACCTCACGATAACTAATGTCCAATAGATACAATGTTATATTTCAATAAATAAATTTAAAAAAAATTATAGGAAAAAATGTGATTGTGGAAATAATTTAATACATAGAGATAACGGAATTGATTATTCAAGACTAGTGAAAAGATGAGTTTCAAAAATAAAGATTTGAAATTTAAAATTGTGTTAATAATTATTCCAACTTTGCAGATAATTTTCAGCTTGTTTTACCATATTTATTTATTGATGCCATTAATCAATCAAAAATGATTCAATAAGTAAAGATTTGTCAGTAAAGATTTTTCATATCGCTATGGTGTAAGCATCAGTCCAATATTTACTACTTAATTCTGAAATGATCTGAGGCTATATATAGCATCATTTAGGTCATAGAAAAACACTTGTTCTTTGTGGTGTTTTTCATTTATACCAAAACAAATAATATAGCCATAGATTTTATTTGTTTTGACTCAGATGATTCACTTATTTTTTTTTATGATGAAGTATTACAAAGTTTTATCTTATAACAAAACTACATTTTCAAAGAAACGATTATTTGTGTTTGTGTGATATATTATTTGAATAAAAGTTAGCAGTTTATAACTGTTTACATTTTATTTGATTATTAAAATTTTACAATTTAATTTTTAAAACCTTAACCTTTTTGGTTGAAGCACCAACATTTTGATCTTAAAGCCTTATGTATAATTTAAAATTCAAATATGATATTTTTAAACTCATAGAAGATTCCATTTAATTTTAATAATTAAGGAAGAATTTAAAGTTTAATCATTCTTTGTAATTCTTTATTCAATTAATTACAATGTAATCATTCTTCTGTAATTCTGTATTCAGATAAACTTAACCATTAGTATTTAGTTTTAATAATTAGAAATTGTGATGTAATCAATTTCATGTTGTTTAATCAACTCTCATAGTGCCCAAACATAATTATGATTTTTTTTTTTTTTGAAGGATGAGAATGTTGCTGTTACTTTTCCTAGTACCCTCAGCGGTACTTGGTCAGTGTCTTACTTCAGATGATAGCAATGTTGAAATAAAATCATGGTCCAATCTATACAAGGGAGAACAACAGTTTGCTATCAAAATGCTCAACTTGGCAAACGATATGACTCCATCAGAAAATATCCTCTTTTCGCCATTCAGCATCTACAATGCTCTTATTCTATCTTACTTCATCGCTAATAATCACACAGAACAAGTGCTGAAAAAGGCTCTTTTCATCCCACCTTCTGAGGTATTTCAATATTTTTTATAAAGTTATATTATTTCTTTGCTTTATTTTGTTCTTATTTAATCTTTAAAAACAATGAATCTGCTAAATATAGCAAATCATTACTTTGAATAAGTACTCATATATGCACAACATATTTTTCAATGTATACTTTTTGTTGTATATATAATATTTATTAACTGTTTTCAGTAAATATTAATATTGTAAAATTTAAAATATTTTTAAAAATAAGTTGTAGGGGTTGTAGAGTGCATGGAATACAAAAAGTATCATGTCTTGTAAATACTATAAATTTAAAGGCTTGGTAGCTTTCTATATATATTGGCCCTTTCTATATATAAGTTTTTTACAAAGGAAGGAGATGATCCAGGGTGGCAGTCATAAATAGGCTAAATAGTGGCAAAACTATTTTATTAAAAGCCAACGTTTTGACCCGACTTTGCAGGTCTTCTTCACGGCTAGAACGGACAAGATACAAAAAGATATAGAGAATTGTGGAAGTTACATAATATTTAGACAAAAAATTATAAACAATGTGAATAAACTTATTAAAATTATAAGCAGGAAGTACATTAAAATATAAACAGAGTAAGCTAAGTAACAAGATCCTAAACTGAAGAAACAGATGGTAAACATTATTGTAGTGTAATATATAATATATGCAAATGTGAATATACATCTACAGATCTACAGGAGAGATTGAAAAAAAAGAAAAAAAGGATATAATATGAAATAATAGACATAAAGAAATATGAGAAGAAAAGAAAAAAGAAAACCTAAAAATAAGTAAATAAAATTAGAAGAATAAAATAGAGACATACAGGTGTGTTCAACTTGGAGTTTCACTTAGAATTGGAAAATCAGAGTAAGGGTAGGTATTAGGGAATTTGCTGACCAGTTTGGGTAATGGGAGTTTTTTCTTTGACAAAAAAGTGGGGCGAAAAACAATTTTTCAAAAATTTTGACAATATAAGTTAGTGAATATCTCAAAAACTATAACAGATAAGAAATTATTATAAACTTTCTTGAAGGAGATTTTACTAACTTTAATTTTTTATACATTTATTTATTTGAACCCTACTATGCCATTGAGGCAAAATGGGTTTTGCAGATCTGGGTTGTTGCACGTCACTGCATAACTGCCTGCTTCTGCAACGAGACCAGTGTTCATATTTAGATTTGTTATTTATTGCCTTTTTTCGCTCATTCTTGTTGCAGCCGCCTCCCTGGCGCGGGTCCTCTTCTTTATATACATTTACTTTTAGTATTATTGTTTTTTTCTGTATTATTTATCTTTATTTATTGTTGATAGAGCGTGAATGTGCTCTCTGAACACTATTATAAATCTCCTTATTTGTGACAGATTGTATGCCTCTTTATATCTCTCAATAAATATAGTTATAAAAAAAATATCTATTCAGATATTTTAATTCTAGAGTATATTAGTAGACGATTCCTAAACTTTAGTTATTTATTTTATTTTTTTTTTTTTTTTAGACTAAGGAAACCATGAAGAATGCTTATACTTTGCAGAAACAATTAAGGATACCGAAAAATGGTTCATCTGAATTTGAACTATTAAATGCAAATCGCTTATTCCTTTCAGACAAATTGACAGTTCGTAATTGCATGGAACAATTATTCAAGGAAGAGATAGCAAAGACCAATTTCGCTGAAGATCCACAAGGTTCTTTGAAAAAGATTAACGACTGGGTAGCCAAAAAGACAAAGAATGAAATCAAGGATCTTTTAAGTGCAGATCAAATTAATGAGGGTACTCGGATTGTTCTGGTCAGTAGCATTATTAATTTCAACTTCAAATGCTGTAAAAATAATATTTCTTAGTTTGTATCTAATTTCAATTTTATAATTTATTTTTTCATAGGCCAATGCTGCTTATTTTAAAGGATGGTGGAAGAGCAAATTCCAGCCAGAATCTACCAGCAAGGAACTTTTCTATATTTCTAACTCTCAGAACACTTTTGTAAGAATGATGAAGCAAAAAAATTCATTCAGCCACTGTAAGTTTTCAGAAAAACAAACTGTTATGACTCTTATGTGAATTTCTTATTATTTGCATAAATAATCTCTTAACCTAATTTTCAGGGAATTAACATAATGGCCCAAGAACTTTGACCCATTCAGTATTTTAATAAAATACCTTTCATTAAAAAAAAAAAAAAAATATATATATATATATATATATATATATATATATATATATATATATATATGAATTTCATAACATAATAGATAAATAAATATTTCATTTTTTTTTTTAATTTCAAAAATAACTTTTTATTTGCTAGAAATCAAGGGAGAGCAATATTATGGTACACAGAGAAATTGGAACAATATGATAAGAATGGGTGAACTGTTCATAGTTCGATTTTTAAGGATAATATATTCAAGAGATTTGAAGGCTCTAAAAATGTCCGGGAAATTAAAATTTTTAATTTTTGGATGTCAGAATGATTATAGACAAACATTCTGATAATCCAAGACTTTAGCCTTATAGTGATAATCCACTTCATACTTTAATTTATGGTTGTTTTTAAATAAACAATTGCATTTTATAATAGAAAAGAAAAACATATGGCCAATGTTAAGTCCTTATTGTGATATATAAATATATCAGAATTCACTGAAATTATCTTAATAACTTTTTATTTTATATCAGATACTGAATTAACATTGTAGATACAATTAAAATTACTATTTCAAAAAATTTACTCATTGTGAATTTCAGTGGTATCTGAAAAGCTGGGCGCACATGTTCTTGAACTTCCCTACAAGGGAGATCAAATCAGTCTTATCATTCTTCTGCCACCTTTTGCTAGCCCCAACGGCATCACTAACATTCTCAAGAGAATGCAAAAAGAAGACTTCAACAAAGTGATCACCGATGAGATGATGCAAAGGCCTGTAGAAGTATCAATACCCAAATTTTCAATTGAACAAGAACTAGAACTTTTGCCTGTAAGTAAACGTTTTCCAATGATTTAAGAAAAAAACTTGTAATTATTATTGGTTCAAATAGTGTTTATGAAGAGGAGTGGTAATAATTTGTCAATTAGTCTTGAATCGTCATAAAATAAACAAAAAGTAAATTATTTTTTCATACTACCTTTAGAGGTTTATAATTATAACCATGAAATCTAACAAATTATTAACATCCTTGATGTTAAATCATTAACATCTAAAACTTTGCAAATAGCTTCATCTTCATAATCTAGAACTTATTTACAAAACTTCTTAGAATTGCTGCGTTTTGAATGTAGAGATCGGCAAACTTTGTCTATTTAGTTAGGTAATAAAAACTCAAGAACATCCATTTGCTTTCCACTTGAATCGTTACATAGTTTGATCACAAAATTGAGAATAAAGGTGGTCTACGAAAACTTGTGTATTGTAAAATACACCCGCCAGGAATCAAAGTTAGAAAAATATTTTTTGAAAAAGTAGTATTAATATTTCAAATTTAGAAACTTTTTATTATTAAATTAAGGATTCTTTGAAGATACATATAATATTAAAAATAAATTGATTCTTCATAGGAGTTAAATAAGAAACACAGACCAACATCTTTCAATTGTAGTTATTTGAATGAGTTCAAATAACTGATCAAATAAATTGTAAGGATATTTAAAACATTATTTCGGGTTTCACTTGTGTTAATTAGAAATGATTCAAACTCATTTAAATGAATAGAAATAAAAATAATCATTTAAAAATTTAAAACCTCAAAAGGTGATTTATCATAAGAAATTTACTATTCATTAATTGCAAAATATATGTTATTTAATTCAAAGACAAATTATACAGGCAATTATTGTTGATTTTGCCTAAGGTTGTTTGTAGAAGCATTTTTAGCAGATCTATGTAAATGAATATATTTTTATTAAATTTTTTAGATCCTTAATTCTATGGACATTGGAGAACTGTTTCAAAGCTCTGCAGATTTGTCTGGATTGACCGGAAATAATGACATTAATCTGGATGACGTAGTGCACAAAGCGAAGATAACTTTGGATGAAGAAGGTACTACAGCAAGCGCTGCCACTGCCATTTTTAACTTCCGGTCGTCGCGTCCGTTGGAACCAGTCAAGTTTATCTGTAACCACCCTTTCATATACATCTTATATGACAGAACGACCAACACCTTACTGTTTACCGGTATTTACAATAAACCACCACCCTCATAAATCATATTTTTCTGTTTTACTGTAAATGTGATTAATATTTCCAATGTCAATATGTAAGAGATATGCTAATTTATCTCTTTATCTCAAAGTTTCTCAAACAAATTAAGGAAATAGAGAAGAAGAATTAATTGCTTCTTCACATAAATATAAAGTTATTTTCAATTTGATAGGGCTTTCAAATTTGATAACTACAAAACAAATTTGTTTATGTCTTCTATAACATCAGCTATACAATTATAAATAAAGTAATTTTTACTTTATCATTGTAAAATATGTAAATATTGTGCCTAGAAGTAAGTTTTATAAATACACTAAAGTATGTACAACACAATTTTACTTCCATGTGAAAGTATAATTAGATCTACCAATTATAGGAGAACATAAAATTCCCAAAAGAATGTTCAAAAATAAATGAGTTCAATGATTTAGACAAATCACTAGAAGAATATTTGGATTATCAATTTAAATTTAACAAAACTTAATGTATGTATCATATCAATAATGAAAGGTAAAAAAAATACATATTTATATTCCGTAATGCTTGTTCACATATTAAGTGTAAATACTGTTTTAGTGTGCTTTAGTATGTATATTTTTAGTGTATCTGTTCTTAGCTAGTCTAAATTACTTGCAATAATACATTTTTAATAAATTAAGTAAAGAAATAAGTTATTATTTTAGTTTTTATTTACCTTCTTATATTTATATCTTCAAGAAGTTAAATAAAAAAATTATAAAACCAACTTAAAACTAGCATTTTATTCTACCCTCAATTGAAACCATATTTATTATGATCGTTTTTTATTACTTCTATCATTGTATACATAAGTGGTGTTGACATAAATCAATCTTTATTTTGAGAGTCTAAGTAAAACTGTCAAACATAACGATCACTAGGATATGCTGAAGATGCACTTATATGTGCGAGGAACTCAGAACTAGAGCTCTCAAGTGTAACTTTCAGAGCTCTTTGCACATGAGTGGAATTAGCTCGAGTTTACTCTTGGAGAGCATTTCTCGCAATGCCGCTTCAGATTGTTGACACACATGCGGTCAGCCAGTTTTGAGACTCATTTTAAAATGACATGATGTCCTCATATAAAATAAATGTGATTAAATAAAATAAATAGTGTTTCTTTCATTATTTTTTTTTCATGAAGAAGTATAAAACATAATGTTTAATTGTTTTGTAAAAGTATACATCTACTATCATATCATCAAACAATTTTTTTCATTTGTAATCATCTCTATCCTAGAGAGTAATTGGCAGTAAGTTTTTATACTCTATTATAATACTTAGTTTCTATTAAATATTTCAACACAGTAGTGACTATACTCATATTATATCATACTATATCCCAATATTTCCTTCATTGTCGTTGCTAATTTAGGTTATTGTTGGATTTGTTTGGTGGCACTCAACTAATAGGTGTTTCACTGGCTGTGTTCTGTTGTCCCATGGGTGCTTCTATGCCTCTAAGAAGGTACTCATGTGAAAACAGGTAGAGACCAATATGATTCGTATGTAGTCGGCACAATATGATTTCCTCTCTTCTAGATTTTTTTGTGCTTGTAGCCCATTTGTTGCACTCTGTTTTTATTTCTAATAATTTACTTAATATTCTATTTCTGTTTTCTCTATTTCTAATAACTTTTTTACGTCTGTCTGTCAGTGCCAAGATTTTCTCGGGAACTAGTCAACCAATTCTGTTGCTTTTTTTATTTTATTTTGTAGGGTTTTGACTACTGATGCCTGTGAGACAAATTGGGTGTTAAAACACATTTTAGCCTGTTTTTTTGAAATATGATGAAATACACTACAAAACTATATAAAAATCTTTAATCTCGGACAACTATTAAGGAAGTTACAGCTATTCAATTTCGTATGTATGATTATGGGTTCATATCCTGGTGCCAGAAAGGGATGAATGAGAGAGAAAAAAGAAAAGTGAAAGTAAGAAAATTTGTTGCCCGCATCAAACAAGCTTCACTATTTCCTATACTTTTAACAGAAATTATTGTGTAACAGAATTAGGCTATAGCAAAATGTTCTTATCAGCTATATTAGAGAGTATTGAAACTTGTCACTGATTTATCACAAGTCGGTTTACATTGCTTTAGTTTATCAAAATAATCGCACTCAAATCTTTTCTTTGATCTTTGCAGGAAAATAAATCTAATACAATTTTTTTTTTTTTTTTTGTTTCTTAATGGATATATTTAAAGATATAAAAACATTTCTGAAATAGGTAGGAAAGTCGTGTGAGTGGACACACCAGATTTTTTTGTCTTGTGTATCCAATCTTCTATTGTGATATAATTTATTGAATTTGTAATTGGTATCTATCCCTTCCTCAATTAAATAATCAAAAAAATATATTACAGTTAATGATAACAAAATAGTTATAAATAAATCTGTTTTTTTTTTTTTTTAATGTTGGGGTAACAAACCTTATAGATATTTTGCAGTTTTGACCAGTCTTCTCCAACCCAGCCTATCTTGGGCTATTTCTTTTCAGTTATGTGCATGGAACTCTGTTGCATCTTTGTTGATTCTACCTATCCATTTTGTTTTTGACCTTCCATATGGTAATTGCTTTCTATTGAGGCATTCAATGTTATATTCAATTATAGTTCTTCGAAAGAGTTCAAGTAACTCATAAAAAACTTTTGTAAGGATATTTAAAACATTATTTTGGGCATCACTAGCATTATGAAAACTACTGTACTATAATGAGAACTAGTTTAAACAAATTTTCTATTTTTTTATAGGCTTATTTTCAGTTGAAAATAATAAATAATTGTAAAAGATAAATTATGATATATTAACAACATTATTGACTTAAGTTATAAATATAATCCGCTATATCAACGTAAACAAATATAAAATGGAGATAAAATAGTGATGGCAGGAGTAATAAATTAATTAGATACTCAACGAACCAGTCGTGCATATCAACAAAATATAAGTAACCTTTAAGAACTCTATAATGGCCTGGAAAAAAATAAAAAGATTTGAAGAGAAGGAATAGCAAAAATGGCCAATGGATATTAATAAATACATTTCAAGTGCATGCACTGCATACACACAACTGCCAAAATATGATGAAAAAAAATGTAATGCTCAAAATTTTAAAATAGATGTTATTTCATTAAAACGAAAAACATTAGGTAATGTGCAAAAAAAAATACTGACTTGCTCCAAAGTAGAAAATTATTTCAAGATTTTTTATTTCCCCTATGCCTGCTTGATCAGCTATATGTAACTTTTCAGTCCACTATAATTTAATTCTACTAGCAAAGAGGATCTCCAGAAGTGAAACAAAAAATGAAAAACATTAATATTTTAAAAAAATATTAACTTGCTACAAAGTAAGATTGTCCTAAAGGATTGGATTTAATTTACTGAGAGCTCTTGGAGGCCTTTTAGCCCAGTCAAATTAGACATTTACTTTGTAAAAGATCGTTTAATTCAAATTTATTTTTTACATTGTTAGGTATGTAGTGAATATAAAAAATTCAAGCTTCCCCTTTAAAAGCCTTGTGGGTTTGCTGCACTGAACCAAAATCCATTAAAATTTCAAACATTTTTTTGGTTTACGCTAAATATCTCCTTTTTAGAGTGACATAGATAAAAAATGGTTGAATATAACCTCTTAAACAACTTCAAATTATCTAACATTTTTTTCTAAACCCAACAGGAAGCGAACTATCGAGCTTTCAAAATTTACTCATTTCGATTTCTTCATAATATTGCTCTCAGTTTTGGACGGAAGGATTCTGTAACTCCATTTTAAACCTCGTTCAGAAAATTTGGAGGTTTTCCTTGAAAATAATGAACCATTGACTGGAACTGTAGACAGTGGTAGGGGATTGTTTTGAAAAGTAAGTTACACCATGGGCCAGGCACCCTCCCCTCTGCACTCCCTCCCTACATCCCAAAAAATTACATACAGTTGTGATCCTTATAACTATTTAAAAAAAAATGACCGTACAATCCCAAAATGGCATCCAAACATGGCAAATTGACTTCTTTGACTTGGGTTAGTTTTTAAAATCAAGCGACCTTTGATATTTAACGGCCAACAATAACAAAAAATGCTTCAAAATAAAACATCTGGAGAATACATTTCTCTTTCTGAGGAACTGATTATTTTTTTAAATATTTGAAGCAATTACAAAATTAAATCAGTGGAAAAACGGCACTGGCATAGGGGCTCAGAATCCTCTGTCACACCATTCAGTACTCATAAATGGCATAATAACGTTGTTATAATATAATAACGTTTTAGTACATTATTTTAATTGTATTAAGGAATGAATATTAATAAAATAATTCAACTGTCCAAAAAAAGTTTGTATTGACGTATTCCAGTGAATCTTGAACAACTACGACAAAGCATAGGAGTCTACTACAGAGTTCTGAGACGAGGTTCCTTTGGAGAATTGAAGGTAAAACAAGACAAGATCAAATCAGGAACACTAAAATAAGGACGAACCTGAATGTAATACCTGCAAGAACAGGGACCGAGGAATATCTACTCCGATGGTATGGACATGTTATTAGAATGTATGAAAATAGAATAGCCAGAGCAGCCTATGAGACACAGGTCAACAGTACCATGAGGAAGACCAAAGAGAAGATGGGAGGAAGGTTCTGTAAGGGAACCCTAACACTAAAACGGCAGTAAGCAGGGGCTCGACAAAGTAAGTAATTATTCTTGCATAGCACTACATCATTTATGAATACTGAATGATGTGGCATAAATGGAATAAATAAGGCATTAAAACAAACAACAGAAACATGTTAATGACCAATTTCATTAAAATATGTGGAAAACAGTCAGAATAAAACTATAAGGAAAAAAAAAACTATAAGGATTTTTTCGAATTTCAAAACATCAATTTCTTTTTAGCAATGTGTATTTAAGTTGTTAAGTTTAGAAAAGTATGTTTCCTACAAAAGCTGTAGTAAATTGTGTGTCCTTCAATATTTAATTTAAAATGTTGAGCTTTCACCTATAAAAACCGAGAATTAGTTAGAAAAAAAAAAATTATACATGTTTTTTTATAAATTTTCAAAACTTTATTCATTTTGAAAGCTCGATAGCTCGCTTCCTGTTAGGTTTACAAAAAAATATTATGTACGAAAATGTTAGATACTTTTAAGCTGTTTAAGACTAAATATCATATTTTTTTATCTTTAAAAAGGAGATATTTAGCGTAAAGCGAAATAAGTTCAAAATTTCAATGGATTTTAGAATAGACTCCTTTTTTTGTGCTAATTTGACTGGGCTATTTACGTTTGTGAGTTTTGGTCTCGAGGGTTAAATAACATTCACGGGTAAATGCAACTTAAGGGTATCCATTCCCTATGCATCTATAAATAAAAACATAATAACAGGATAAATAATTTAATTATTTTTTTTAATTTTCCTATTAAATATAACAATAAATAAATAAATAAGAATCACAGCCTTGCAACATCCTGATTAGACTTGAACCATTCAACAGTATCTTTTATGGCAACTTCAAACAGTGTGAACTGGAAATCAGGAAGCAGCATCCTGAGCTTAGCATTGGAAGCAGTTTTCTTGAATTGCCCATCTGCTTTTGATGTATCAAATAAAATTTCTCCATCAAAATCAAACGCCTTTGCTATTGCCCTAGCACTGTCTGCTATTGAGATTTCATCTTTTTCATCAACTAAAAGATTAAAGAAATAAGGTTAAAGAAATTTAACTAAAACAAACATTTCTCAAAATTAAAGTAGTAAAAAAATAAAATTCTTTCTTAACTGTAAAGATATCATTATATCAGAAAACAAATAAATATATTAAACAAGTTACCAATTGATTTCAATTTAACAAAACTTCTTTGAATTACACTAAATAAATTGCTTTGTATGATTCCTCTTCGGGATCCCAAGGGATGTCTCAATTTTCTGTTTTTATGAAGAGTTTAAGTAGCTTTATCCTTCCTACCTTCGTAATTATTTCCTGGCATCCTTCTTCCTCCAAGTCATTCACTTCCGCCCCCCTCCCCACATACAACTCTGAGCTCCTTTAATTTAAATTCTCTATTCAGTCCCGCAATAACCGTTCCTGGTCTTCAAATTTACATATAATGGCCCACTGAACCATTGCTTTCGATAGATCTTTTATTGTTCGACCCTCATCCCTATGGAACTCCATCCATCACTCCCAATACTCTCTCTAATTTTAAATCCTGCCAATTTAATCACTTCCTTTCTATACAATCCCTATAAAATTGTAAATAGATATTTCTGTAAATATGTGTATATATTAACAGTTTTTTTTCAATTATTTTCATTTCATTTTTTTTCTTTTATCTTAATCAATTTAAGTTAGAAAATAACTTCTTTTTTTTCTATTATATATATTTGTTTACTTTGTAAATACATTTATATGTTTCTGAGGTTCAAAAGACCTCTTTTCTAAAGGGAGTCGTCCCAGAATAAATAAAATATAGTTATTATTATTATTATTATTAAATAAAAACACCTTTAGCCGTTTCATTGAAATCGATACATTCCTATCGTGAAGTATATTATATAGATAAATTTAAAGGGCTTTGAAGAGCAGACTTTGGCCAAGTTTCATTGATATAGTACACCCCTGCTGTAGACACTACAGTCTATAGTGACACAATATTTTCGGTCACCATCTTGAAAAGAAAGAACTGATGGCAATGCCGAGTACTAAGGATAATCATCGAGTGCCCCCTGCAGCCATCTCCATTAAATCATCCCCTGCAGCCAGGGCCAAAAAACGAACCTCATCGTGGGTGAAGGGTTGAATGTAAATTATAAAAGTGTATAACATTTAAACTAAAATAAATAAGCTTTGTCTATTTTATTCTATTCCAAAAAGCTGCTGCTTTCAGAAATGATGGGCATGCAAAGAGGTTCAAATTTGCTAAAAATAACTCCGAAATGCCCGCCTTCCTAAAATCATGGGCGGTCACTAAAAAATATTATTTGAAGACATTTATTTAGTTTCTTTTATTAGACTGAATTTTTACTTAGTCTGCCCATCCTAGGTGGTCAGATTCATAGTGGATATATATTTATCTTTTTTCAACAAGGAAAATTATTTATTGACACTATATGCTACCATCAAACGATTTCAATTTGAATAAAAAATTTTTTTTTAATTGTATAAAATTACTTAATTTAAATTATATAATAATAATAGAAAATTACTTAAATTTAAATTGTATAAAATTAGAGTATAAGAAATAGCTAAAAGGAAGGTATAGCTCTTTAGTTTTTCTACATCTGATACAAATTTCGAGTCCTTATCTGAACCTTTACTTATTGTTTATTACTTATTAAGTTCTTCTTTGACCATCTGCCGAAAAAGTATCTGGCTTTCCCCGATTTCTATAGTATAGTCCTATGGTTTGTTAATACTTCCAATATATTTTATCAAGTTTACTTGTTTATTTCATGATTTGACTGTTCCCTTTGTGATTATATTCCTAGAAAACTACATAAATAATTAGGTAGGTTACAAAAAAATGAAACACCTACAAAAATAACACCAACATATAAGTGGGCGACATCACTTACTAATGCGAGGGTTAAAGTAAGATCTGCTTTTATTTCAAATAACTTTTAAGTAGAATATTTGTCTCACGTTTATTGCTGTTTTCGCTTATATTATGAAAAGTATCTATCAAGAAGAAAGCTCTGTTTGTGCTAGTTATATGCTGGTCTTTTTCTGCCCATTGGTCATTCATCCAGATTATTGTAGAGCCGAGGTATTTGAATTTTTCTACTCTTGGGAATGATTTTTTTTCTATGCAGATCCTGTTATTGGGGTGGAATTTTCATACATATATATACATTGACAGGGAAAAAATTCCACCCACTTGATTTTTTCATGTTTTCATCTAAAAATATTTCTGCTTTGGATTGGTCTATTGTTTTTAATGAATAAATAGGTTATCTTTTTGTTTGTTTTAAATTAGGAATGTTAATATAGAGGACAATAACCCTTAATCCTTAATTCAATGAAATGATTCTAGATTGCAATGTTTACTTTCTATGGAATCAAAATGTTTATTCAGTATCATTAGTTCAGTGCCGTTTCTTGCAGCACATTTCTTAGTCTCCAGCTTTAAATTTTTTCAATATTAAGTTTAAAAATGCCTCATAGTGCTGAAGATGTTGCGCGTGGTGTGGCACTTATTGATGATGGACGTTCCATTAGATATGCAGCAAATGCCATCGGAGATCCATATGAAACTTTACGAGACGCCGTCAGGCGTTTTCGGGAACCTGGTTCTTACAATAGAAGGCCCGGTTCTGGACGGCCTAGGGTAACAGAACCACGGGATGACCGGTTTTTGACTTTGAGAATTTTACGAAACCGGCACCTTACCGCTGTTCAAGCAAGTCATCAGCTCGAAGAAGTTCGAGGTGTGCAAATTTCTGAACGTACCGCTCGGAGAAGATTAAATGAGTATGGATTAATGGCTTTTCGTCCAGTAAAAGGACCAGCTGGCTTTTGCTTCAGAACACAGCCATTGGACTATGGATGAATGGAGTGCTGTACTTTTTACAGATGAGTCGCTCTTCGATCTCCAGACGGGCGTGAAAGGGTGTGGAGAAGAAGAAACGAAAGATATGCAGCCTGTAATTTTTCTTAGAGCCAACATTTCCAATGTGGTTCCTTAATGGGTAACAAGTGGGTGGAATTTTTTTCCTGTCAGTGTATATATATATATATATATATATATATATATATATATAAATATTTTGTAATATACACCTTATTTGAAAGTTGTTCAAAATTATTTAATAAATTAATGTAACAGTTAAAAAGTAAGCTAATCTAGTTCTACTAGTTCAGGGGAGGAGGGGGGGAAATAGCTGCTCTGTTACATAGGAAAATTCCAAAGAGGGGATTAGACAAAGGATTTTGTTTTGGCAAGCAGTGGTTGTGTGGCTGGAGTGAAGAGAGAATAGGAGAAGGGATCCTGGTTCCAGAGGGTGAAACCCAGTAATAGTATTACCATCTTGGAAGTTGTTGTTTGCTAGAGAGACTCGTTGTTTGGAATTACAAGAGAGATCTCCCAGGAAGTTTGAGTTGAGTTGATGAAAGTGTTATAGCATTTTGGAAGATGTGTTTGGCAGAACATAGGAAAATATTAGAAGACAAATGAATTCAGTGACACAAAAAAAGAAAAAGTGTATATAGAAAAAAGGTTAGCTTGCTGATAGATACTTGACATTATTTTAAAATCAAACAGTGTTTTGTGTAGTTAATATTAGTCAGCCTGAGTCTTTTGATCTGATTATCAGTAACCCATACTTTGAGATAAAATAATTATAAATTTCAATTTAATATATTAATACTATTATAATTTTATTTATTATTTACTACATCTTGTTTCTTTTGGGAGTATCCTAATGGTATAAAGTAGTCTTCCACGAGGTTTATTACTAGTTAAAAATATATAATATAATATACATATTATATTATATTATATTATATATATATATATATATATATATATATATATATATATATATATATATATATATAGCATTTCCAAGTCAATTTCAACCTTTTCCAAGTCAAATTCAACCTTTTCCAAATCAAATTAAACTTTTTCCAAGTCAAATTCAACCTTTTCCATTTCAAATTAAACCTTTTCCATTTCAAATTCAACCTTTTTTTATTTATTTAATTATCTTTAATTTTTCGATGCGGGGGTCTGTTATCGTATGAGTAGTTTTTTAAAATAATCTCCTTTTTAAGATTACGTGACTGCGTTTCGAATTATTTAAGTTTTTTTTTATTTATTCGATATAAGGGTGTATTTTTATGTTTCCCGATCAGTAAATTTTTAAAATGACATCTATTTTATGTTTACGCCACTGTGTTTTGATTTATTTAAGTTTTTAGAGTTTATCCAATATAAAGGACTTATTTGAGTTTTTCGGATATTTTTCATATGAGGGTGTATTTTTATTTATCCGGAGCTGTAGATTTTGAAAATGACCTCCATTTTAAGATTAGGCCACCGCGTTTCGACTTATTTGAGTTTTTCGGATATTTTTCATATGAGGGTGTATTTTTATGTTTCCGGAGCTGTAGATTTTGAAAATGACCTCCATTTTAAGATTAGGCCACCGCGTTTCGACTTAGTTGAGTTTTTCGAATATTTTTCATATGAGGGTGTATTTTTATGTTTCCGGAGCTGTAGATTTTGAAAATGATCTCCATTTTATGATTATGCCACTGCGTTTTAACTTATTTAAGTTTTTCGAATTTATCCAATATTAAGGTCTACTTTTATGTTTCTTGAGCCGTAGATATTGAAAATGACATCCATTTAATGATGACGCCATTGCATTTTGACTTATTTAAGTTTTTCGAATTTATCCAATTTAAAGGTCTACTTTTATGTTTTCGGAACCGTAGATTCTGAAAATGACCTCTATTTTATGATTACGCAACTGCGTTTCAACTTATTTAAATTTTTAGAATTTAACAAGTATAAAGGTCTAATTTTATGTTTCTGGAGCAGTAGATTTCCCCCATTTTGTAAATGACCCAATTTAAAGTTTATGCCACTGTTTTGGATTATAAAAGTTTCTTTTTTTACTTTTTCGGTATAAGGATCTACTTATATGTTATCCGAGACGTATTGAAATTTTTCTAATCTTTAAT